CGCAGACGGGGGCGTCCTCCCGCACGCTCCAGGTCCCGGGGGGCTCCCGCAGACGGGGGCGTCCTCCCGCACGCTCCAGGTCCCGGGGGGCTCCCACAGACAGGGGCGTCCTCCCGCATGCTCCAGGTCCGGGGGGGGGGTCCCACAGACGGGGGCGTCCTCCCGCACGCTCCAGGTCCCAGTGTCTAGGACAAGCCACCTCAGGCTAGCTTGCTGGGAAAAGCCTGCCCTGGCTTCTCCTGACAGTAGGTGGGCTACCACCGCTCCAGCCCACTGTCAAGCCCACTTTGGGTCCAGAAATCAGTCATGTGATTTGCAGCAGGATTCTGTTTCCCAGGAAGCCCAAACGATAATTATGTACTTAAAAAAAAAACAAAAACAAAAACAAAAAACCATTGCCTTTGAGTCGCTTCTGACTCATAGCAAGCGACCTTATAGGACAGAGTAGAACTGCCCCATAGGGTTTCCAAGGAGCGGCTGGTGGATCTGAACTGCTGACCTTTAGGTTATCAGCTGAGCTCTTAACCACTGTGTCACCAGGGCTCCAAAATTATGTATGAGGAGGTGAAAATTTGGTTTCCTCCACTTTTACCAGAAGACACCACATCCAATCACAATAGGATAAAAGACTCCAATAATAAAGTTATCTTTCTATTCAAAAATACTTAAACGTGAATCCAGAACATTAGAGGATCCCAAGCGGCTGGCATTCTGGTCCAGAGCCATGGGGGTTCATGAGCAAGTTCTGCCTGAAATACAAGCTGACGTTTATGCTGCTCCTTCTCTTGGCGTCTGACATCCACCCCAACTCACCCTCACCACCCTCTCGCTCATCCTCTTTTCCCTCTCAGAAAACACCACTCCATGCTGCATAGTTCCTGCAGGCTGGGAACACCAGAAACACACACAGCAGCTCCATCCACTAGGCCCCCAGGGAAATCACTTTACTTGTGATAGCTGCTCCTTAAAATCCTGCCTCACTCCTCCACCACTACTTCCCGAGTCACTGTCCAATCTGTTTTACCAACAGCTCAGTGGATCTGACAGTTCATCAGACTGGAAGAGCTACACCTCAAGAGCAGAGGCTCACTAGCTTCCCCCCCCCGTGGAGGGTCTGACAAACCCCGCTGTTCCCTTCACACGCTGGAGGAGCTCCAGGCCCCCAGAACGCCAACCCCTGGGAAAGGGGGAGGGTGGAAGACAGAAAGAAAGGAAGGGAGAAAATGAAAAGGGGGGGAAAATAACTTTCCTTAAGGCACTAAATTACGTCAACAAGCTATGTAAGACTGAACATTAAAATTTGTCCAACCACATACCCTGTGACTTAAATTTATCTAAATAAAATATCTGAAAGAGTTTAACCCTTATTGTAAGAGGCTAAAATGGGGGTAAATCAAGTCAGTTACCATTTGTCAAAGAAAAATAAATTTATAAAACAATCCCACAGCAAGCATTACTTGAAAGATCAGGTTAAAAAAAATCCAGTAATGTAATTTCTTTCAACAAACTGAATGCAGTATTGCATTTTAGAAGTTCAAAAAAAAAAAATCTATTGTGTTTCCATTCACTTACCACAATCTAGGAAATGTTAAACTTGTCAGTGTTCAACTCTTAAGAAAACTGTAAAAGTTGAATCACATTGTTTTTCACTTCATGTTTTCTATAAACATTTTGCTTTCTCCTAAAAGTTCTGCGCAAACAGAATCTTACTGAAAAACACATTCTAAATCCAACAAAAATAAAAATCCAACACAAAGAAGCTGAGGAAGTTTTTCTCTGCCAAACCTAGCATCTCAGAGAAGCCAGCCGTACCCTGACAGCTAATAAAGTGCATAAACAGTCACAGAGACTCAGCATTTAATACATGGCCAGGACCTTCAAGATCATCCAATCCAATTCTCGTATTTGACAGAGGAGGAGAAGGCAGCCCAGAGAGGTCCGACTACTTGTCAAGGCCAGCAGTGGGTCCACGGGGTTCCCATGGAGTGATAGAACCACCGAAGAATTCCTCTAACCCTGACTTGTACTCAATCTGATCACCAGGTTCATCTAAATGGGATCCTTGGAGCCAGATGTGAATCATGCCAAGGTGAACACAAACTGCTAATAACGCAAATCAAATTCCACAGATAGCTTCCTTCTTTGGCAGAGTTTATACATGTGCACGCTTCAGCAGGACTACACAGTTGTAAGGCTGAAATGGGGCTGGATCTCCATGAGCGAAAGCAATATGAGAGTCAAATGACAATTAGCCATAATCCTGTTTTACGTGTATCTCATGAGCTACAAACCACCACTGGGCTACAATCAGAAGAAATACAGTTCCTTCAGTGAGCTAAAACAGTCTGTAACATTTACATTATCAACCATTTGTTCTAATCCATCTTCTGTTAAAACACTGAACCAAAAGAGGCCACTTTTAACTGAATAAGAAATAATTCACTGAGTGTCATATTAAGAGACTGAAAACTAGGCTTCTGTAGTTTATACTTGTGGAATAACTTAACTCGATTTAAGTTTGGTGTGAAAATTTCCTTTTTATCTGTTCTGGGGCCTCTCACTTAAAAAAAAAAAAAGACTAATTAAATTGAAATTTCATTTTTATTTTGTATGCTTGGTTTTAATTTCTTCTTCGACATTCCTCGTGTTGCCCCAACATCATTCCCTATCCTTTTCCACTTCCGTTATACTCCTTTCTAGATTCTAGGGCAGTCTCAATGTTAGTATTAGAAAATAAAAGTTCAACTAATATCCCAGTCTCAGAATGAATAACAATGACATCCTTTAACATGCAACACAGAGACTCAGAACAACCCTGTGAGTTACTAAAGCACTACACAACACTGAAATGTTAATGTGACTAACCCTATAAACTTTTATCTCCACTATTAATAAGGACACCAGTGTGAAAAAGAATGAAGGTGAACCCTTATCTTGCACCATATAAAAAGATTAATTAAAAATGGATCAAAGATCTAAATGTAA